TCGGTGAGCAGGCCTGTGGGCGGGGCACACTCATCCCCAGACAGGGACAACCCAGGGTGGGCAGGGGTGGCATACAGGGAGCCTCGAAGGGAAGCCTGGCCGGGTCTGGGGTCAGGGAGGCTTCCTGGAGGTCAGGTGCATTTAGGTCCTCATCCTGGGGAACCCACACAGTAAACAAGTGGACAGGCGACTCAGCACGTGATGAGTACTGGGGAGGGTCAAGGTGAGGGTGCACATTAGATGGTGGTCAGGGAGACCTCTCTCAGGAGATGAAAGATGCCAAAGGAGGGAGCCGTCCAAGGGCCCTAAAGTAGCCTGTGCCTGGGGGACCGGAAGCAGCACGCAGGCCATTGTGGCCGGAGTAGAGTAAGTGACGGGAGGGAGGCCGGAAGTGAGGTCAGAGAGGTCCAGGATTAGGATGCCCCGTCCTCTGCTCACGGGTGTCCCCTTACCACCACCATAGGCTTTATCACCATGACACCCCAGCTCTTCATCAACTACAAGCTCAAGTCGGTGGCCCACCTGCCCTGGCGCATGCTCACCTACAAGGCCCTCAACACCTTCATCGATGACCTGTTCGCCTTTGTGATCAAGATGCCTGTTATGTACCGGATCGGCTGCCTGCGGGACGGTTCAAGGGGTTGGGCGGGCAGGCTGGTGGGCTGGTGGGCTGGCGGGAGGCTCCCACTGCAGCTCGGGAGGCACAAGCAGGACTTGGGGCCTGGGCTAAGGGATATGCCCTGTTCCCGGCCTGGGGGCTCAATCTGAGGCCCAATCTTTGCAGGACCCCCCACCCCCCTGACAGTAGGCCAGTTGGGCCCCTTCCCCTCACACTGCCCCCCTCGCCCCACCTCTAGATGTGGTCTTCTTCATCTACCTCTACCAACGGTGGATCTACCGCGTCGACCCCACACGGGTGAATGAGTTTGGCATGAGTGGTGAGGCACCGACAGCAACTGCCCCCACGGCCGAGGCCCCAACAGCCACAGGGGCCCTCTCATCCCCACCCACTCCTGACCCTGCCACAATCACCACCGCCGCCGGGGAGGAGGCCTCTACGCCCATGCCTGCCAAGCCCACCCAGGGGGCCAGCTCCACCACCGAGCCCCAGGAAGTCCCTCTAAAACCGGCAGAGGACAAGAAAAGGGATTAACTGTTCCTGGTCATCGTCGCCTGCTCCGGCTCCTGGTGACACCGCCCCTGCCGACCCAGGCCCCTTGCCTCCCCTCCCCATTGCCCTTTCCCTGGACAGATTGGGCCGGGGCAGCAGGAGACCCCTTTTGGGCCGGGGCCCAGTGCATGGTGTGGGGGCTGGGGCAGGCCAGGGCACGTGGTTTGTGGAGGCGCCGTCTGTCTGTCTGTTCCTGTGTTTTAGCCATCTTGCCCCACCAGCCCAGCACCATTGGGAATCATGGTGAAGCCGATGCGGCACTGCTGAGGGGGTGGGCCAGGCAGGGGAGAGGCCAGGGCCCCTCTGTGGGGTGCCCACGGCCGTCCATCATCTTGTCCCTCGTCCCCTGACCAGCCCCTCCTCCCAGACCGCCACCCTTTAACACAGTCTGAATTTAATAAATTCATGTGGGTGTTTAACTTAAACTCAACAACCCCCCCTTGTGCCTTCCTTCCTCTGTCACGGCAGAGAGCAGGTATGGGTGGCTCTCCCCGGTCTGGGAAGGAGACCCTGCAGGTTGAAAAACTCGGTAAAGTGGGGACAGTGGCCCTCTGGGCCAGGCCCCTTTCTCACCCTCCTCCTCTCAGCAGTCCTCTGATGGGGCTTCCATAACTCCCATGTCACAGATGGGGAAGCTGCTTGCTGTCACCTCGCTACACCTATGTTCTTACCCATGAGACCCAGCGCCTTGCTTGTGCCCACTTATTGTTTTCGGGCCTCAGGCCTGCCTCATGAGCAAACACTCACCGCCTGATCCATTTTCACCAGCTTCCGCATTCAGCAGTCCTGGGCCCTGGACACGTGACCTCCCTTCTCTGGACTTACGAGCTTGCCTCCCCAGGTCGCAGCAGGGGTATGGGGTGAACCCTCACTCAGGTGGTGCCCAGTTATAGAGCTTGGAGTTGTTAGGGCGTCTCCAGTGTCCCCAGGGCTGCCAGCGCAAGGATCCAACCAAGCTCTTAGTGCAGTGGTCGGCAAACTGCGGCTTGCGAGCCACATGCAGCTCTTTGGCCCCTTGAGTGTGGCCACGAAGTTTCAATAGCACTATACGTGCACGCCCACACGTGGTATTTTGTGGAAGAGCCACACTCAAGGAGCCGCAGTTTGCCGACCACTGTCTTAGTGCATGGCCCATGGGCCTTCCCAGCAGCGGGTACTGGGGCTGTTTACCCACTTCCTAGGTGAGGAGACAGGCCTCTGGGCCTCCCTGCACTCAGAGGGATTAGAACCCACACTCCCAGATTTGCAAATCGGGGGGAGAGGGGGGGTGTCTCGTCAACACTGCAGGGAGAGGAGGCCTGGGGCTGAGGGTCTTCCCTGAGGCCTCACCTCCACTCCGCCCTGCAGAGCCAGACAGGGAATCCACCATGTCTGGGGAGATGCTGGTGTGCTCAGACCCCCATGTGTACACATGTGCACGCAGGTGCGCACACATGCACACAAGACTGCAGGCTTTTCCTCCCTTTTGTACTCTGCACACCATTCCATGGCTCCCCGTGTCCTAGGAGAAAGCTTAGGAGCCCAGGGGGTGTGGCCACCTGGACTCCCTGGCCTCATCTTCCCTGACCCTCCTCCCACAGCCGCACACTCCAGCCTTTGGCAAAGACCATCAGCTTTACCCCACAATCAGGGGTCACCAGTTCCACTGACACCACCTGGTTCAGAATCCCTCTCACCCCTTGGGTTCTCACCCAGCCTTCTCCCTGATGTCCTGCCCTTCCCATTCACCACCATCCAGTAGCCAGAGAACTTTTTCTTTTTCAATCCTTACCCAGGGATATTTTTTCCATTGATCTTTAGAGAGAGAGAGTGGAAGGGAGGTAGGAGGGATAGAGAGAGAGAGAAACATCAATGTGAGAGAGACACATGGACTGGTTGCCTCCTGCAGACGCCCTGACCGGGGCCAGGGATTGAACCAGCAACCAAGGTACATGCATGCCCTTGGCCAGGAATCAAACCGGCGACCCTTTGGTCCGTGGGCCAATGCTCTAACCAGTGAACAACCAGCCAGGGCACCAGAGAACTTAACTAAAGCACAAATCTGACCCTGCCCATCCCCTGCTTAGAACCTACATGGCTCCCTAGTATCCTTGGGAGAAGTGCCCAGGGTCCTAACTGGTGAGCCAGACTGGGGGCAGGGGGGACTTCTTAACCCCTGTAGTTTCATCTTTCTTGCTTTAACTTGCCATGATCTCCTGGCTGTAGCGAAAGCTCTTCCCTTACCTGGGAAACATTTCCAGGCACAACGCTCTGTACCTTACCCTGTGCATCATCCAGGTTGCAGCTCCACTGTCTCCTCTAGGAAGCCCTCCCTGACCACTTCCTCTAAGCGCCGCCTCCTCAACCCCCAGCTCCCTGGGGTCCCACATTCCAGCCCTATCCACTGTGGGTCATCACTGGGGACAAGTTGTTCCCCACTGAGCTGAGCCCTGTGAGGACAGCTAGGGCTGTCCTGGTCACGGCCATGTCCTTGGCACAGAGGAGGCGCTGCAGGAATGTTTGCTGAATGCGTGTTTGCCAGTCCCGACTCACAGACAAGCACGTATCCAGGAGTGTGGACCCTAAAGGGCCCACATTGACACTGATGGAGAGACTGACAACCAATCAACAAATGCTCCCTGAGCCCCTCCCCTGGACACTGTCCTGAGCTGAGGGGTCTGTGTACACAGCGGGGACCAAGACACCCCAGGTCTGCCCTTAAGGAGCTGAGGGTTTCTGACATGCCCTTTCACTTACTCATCCAACACACAGCTGTGAGATCTGACATTTGCAAGGGGCAGAGGCTCATCAGGTGGGCTCCTGGGAGCCACTGCTCCACGTCCCTTATGAGCCAAGCTCTAGTCTAAGAGCTGTATGTGGTTTATTTCATTCAGTTTAATATTGATGTCCCCATCACCTACAGACCATTGCTATACTCTCCACCACTTCCCCAGTGGTCTCCACTCCAGACTGCTTGCTATCACGGGAATATGCATGTTCCCACCGCATGGATGGGATAGTCAAGTAATAGCAAGGAGACCGGAATGGAGTGGATCCTTCGCAGTTTCAGCTCTTTGCTCAAACGTCATCCCCAAACCTCCCTCAACTTCCTAACCCAAATAATACCCTCTAACCGCAATCCATATATCCTGCTTTATTCTGTAATACTGCCATCACCACCAGACATGTATTTGCTTATCTATTTCCATCGGTCTCCCTCACTAGGATTTCAGTGCCATGATGGGAGGGGCTTTTGTCTTTTGTGTCCTTTGCTGTGTCCCCAGCTTTTGGAACGCTGCCTGGCACCATTACACTGTAATAATTAAGTCAAATGCTTACAAGAGCAGATGAGAAAACCCAGAGAAACTGAGAAGTTTGTCCAAGGTTTCAGGACACAAAGTGTTAGGACAGTGCCCAGCACATTTAAGAGCTGTATACAAGTGCCATTCTTAGCATTCTTATTTATTGATTTGAGAGAGATATCGATTTGTTTTTCCACTTATTTATGCATTCATTGATTCTTGTATATGTTCTGACTGGGGTTCGAATCCACAACCTTGGCATATCGGGCTGGCACTCTAACCAACTGAACTACCTAGCCAGTGCTATTAGTATCATATAATCCTCACAACCATCCTGTTATTAGGCCCATTTTACAGATCGGGCTGAGAGTGATGAAGTCAAGTGCCCAAGGTCACACAGCTGGTAGGTGGGAGACCTAGGATTTGAACTCAGGCACTCTGATAATGGACCCTCAATCATAACCTCCCTTGCAATGCCCTTGTTGCATGCAGACTATAGCTTACAGGCCAAATGCAGCCTTTTCCCACTTTTGTGTAATTTTTAAATAGTTAAAAAAGCTCAGGAAGAATATTTTGTTTCACATGAAAATTATACGAAATTCAAATTTCAGTAGCCATAATGTTTTATTGGAACACAGCCATCTCATTGTACTGTCTGGGTGCTTTTGCATTATGGCAGAGTTGACTGTTGAGACCTGTCTGGCCCTCAGAGCCTAAAGTGAAACATAGTTGCTCTCTGGTCCTTGGCAGTTTTTAAAAGTTTGCTCAATATTTTGCCATCTAGCAGTAGTGCTCCAACTTGAGCCTGAAGGGCTTGTGGCCGCACTTTGAGAACTGCTGCTGCCTCCCACAAGAGGCACCAGGCCTGGCTTGGTGAGTGCTGTGTCCCCAATGACCAGTGCAGGCCCTGACACACAGCAGATGCTCAATAACTGTATGTCTAATGAATTTATTTTATTATATTATTTTTTAATCCTTAACTCGATATTTTTCCATTGATTTTTAGAGAGCAAGGGGAAGACAGAAATATTGATGTGAGAGAAACGTACCAATTGGTTGCCTCCTGCATGCACCCCAACCAGGGCTCGGGCCAGGGAGGACCCTGCAACAGAGGTACGTGCCCTTGACCAGAATCAAATCTGGGACCCTTTGGTCCACAGTCCGACGCTCTATCCACTAAGCCAAACTGGCCAGGGCTTTTAATTTTTTTACTTTGTATGTCTAATAATCATCTGTGGACGACAAAGATAAGAGAAACACTCAGATTTTACACAAGCAGATAGAGCATTCTGTGGTCAGAGTGCCCGGCATCCCTGTTGGAACCTATGGTCACCTAGTCATTCTGAAGAACGGGAGGCTTTGGGACTATGATCTAACCAAATGGTTGCCCCTCCTTGAGCCTCAGTCTCCCCTCTGCAAGAATCCTGGTTCTATCACATGCCTCTGATGCGACTGTGAGGTATGAAGCATCTGTGAGGCCCCCAGGTAAGCACTTTGCTCAAGGGTCAGGTACACAGCTCAGAATGTACACTGGGGCTACACTGACATCATTCCCAGACTGATTTACTGAGCCTCGAAGCTGTAAGTGCTCTGGGAAACTTTGGTGTTGTGGGGAGGAATAAAACATCCATCCAATCATTCAATAACCATTCACTGGGTACCTACTGTGTTCCAGGTGCTGTTTTTGGTGCTAGGGATACAGCAAGGAACAAAACAGGCAAATCCTAGAGCTGACATTCTAGATTTAAACATTAAAATATCTTCACTCTCAATTTGCAGAAAATGAGTAGAGAAACCATAGAAGTTTCCTAAAGCTCATTATCAACGAAAGCTGTAGAGCTCTCCTGATCCCAAAGCTTCCCTTCCATCCAGAAAAACAACAGGTTCAAGTTCGCTGGCAGACTTGGGGGGGAGGGGAGTGCCTCAGTTTCCCCAACTTGATCCTCGGGCAGGGCGGGAATGGCTCTAAGCAGGCCTCAATTGGCTCCGCCAGAGCAATGGCCAGCAGCGCTGGCCCCTCCCAAACACCCAACCTCCTCTTCCCGGCCGGCCCCGCCCCCTAGGCCACGTGACGCGCGGGGGTTTTCCCGTTCCCC